TATTCAGGTTATCAAAGTTAAGATATTAAATAATACACTGCAATGCGATTTGATTCAATGCGAGTTATTTTAACTTGAAATGATTTATGTTGAAAATTTACAATTTACACAAACATAATTTAAAATAAGTTAAAAAACATTCTTGACTAAGTACTTTTTTCCAATAAAAATTACAAAATGCAGTCAGTGTCACTTAAATTTACTAAAGCTACTTAATCAAGTTTTTTAACTTACAAAATTTAGATAGTTTTACTTTTTATTTCATGTAATCAGTTTCAGCATTTTTTTTTAAGTTAAAGTAACTTATCTGGTTTTACAGTGTAATCTAAACTTTTAAATACACTTTAATGAAAGGCTGAGTCTACTGTGTGTATTTTTCAAGTTTTCTTAAAATAAAGAAGGCCCCTATGAAGATTTGGCGAACCCAAGGTTGGGAACCACTGATGTAGATTATCAATGCCAAGAGATCTGACAAAGTCCTTCTGATTCATTTTGATGGATTGGTAACTGTGTGTTGCTGTGTGTACTCGCTGGTAGCCATTGCTAGAATACAGGTATAAACAGAAAATAGGCAGAAGGGTCCATTACCATACTAGTACTCATGAGAATGTCACAGCCAATCACAATGTATGGACTGAACTAACTCAGCTTTCTGTATAATAGGTCATATATATGGTGTATTGAGACAATTTTTTTTTTTTACTGATGTTTTTATCTGACATGAGTACAAACTACGTAAGAACAGTATAATTTCAGCTATGGTGTGCTTGTAGTTTCTATATTTAGGCCCACTGCTCTCTCCCATTAATTTTGCTACGGTAGGCTAAACAGTAGTAGCTGCAGACACCTGCCTCCTTGCCCATGTAGCAGCACCCAGTGGAAACAACATCTGTTTTTGGGAACTGCCTATACAGCCTGAAAGCAGATAAACACTGCTTCTGGCCTCCTCCTGTCCTCGTCTCTTGAGAGAGATCAAGTGAGTGTACGACGTACTGTGTGCGTTGTTGATGTAATAAACCTGCATGTAAGTTGCTCAGTGTAGGTAAGCCTGTGTAGGAATTCTGTAACTACTACTAGAAGCCACCTTTACTCTGAATTAAGACAACATGATGATTTTCACACCAGAGATTCATGCTAGTGCTTACATAAGAGCACAATGGATAACAAGAGAAAATGGATAACAAGAGAACATGGATAGGATATCTTGGGAAATTCTGAATAACATTTCCATAAAGTTAAACAAACAAATACATCCAGTCAATATTAATCAAGAGTTAGTAAGTAAGTTAGAAATAAGTTAAGTTCAATTCTAGTACAAAAGTAACTCATTTCTTGTGAGTTCAGCATGTATCTTTTATGATAAATGGCACCACTGAGTCGAAGACATACAGAGACAGACACAGGGAGAGAGACAAAAAGCACACATACTGTATGTTGTTGAGTTATAGAAAGAAAGAAAAATCAACCAAGGAAACATATTTATCATCATACAACACAAGGTTGTATCACAAAATGAAATGTTGCAGTCCCTTTCAATGCTACACACATAGAAAAAAGATAATTCAATTTATAGAGTAAAGTGAAATACAACTCTATATACAGTCATTTATATACATAGATATGCACAGATACACCCAGGAAATCAGCAGGTCATCTTTTGAATTTGTGTCTGGTTGAATGTAAACGGCAGCAACAAAATAGTGATGATAATATTGTTTCATCCACTTTGACTGCATTTAGGCATCAAGCATCATTGATGTAATCAGAGTCTGTCCTCTCGCCGTGCGCTCTTCTGATTAATCCTGTTGGAAGGCAGCAATTAGAGAGTGCATTGAAACACCGATTCAGTAACATGAATGAAACTCCTACCTGTGTGCTAATAGTCCTGCAAAAATAGCAGCAGCACAAAGATGTAGAGCCACTGCACACACAGAGCTTCACACTCTTTGCTTTCCTTACTTAATCTTGACAAAGACTGAATAGAAGTGTCAGCACCAAAAGTAGAGTGTTTAAGGTTTTGCTAGTCAAGTACTTTTCTTTTTCATATTTGTCTGCATGTTTCAATGAGCATTCCAGTGTTTTCATTTAATTTGAAAGGTCTGCCTCTATATTAAGTAAGCTGTGACATCTGAGACTTGACACTTCAAAACAAACGTTTTAATGCAAGCAGCCACCAGATTAGTGTTGTTCCAATACCCTTCTTTCCTTCCCAATACTAATTCCGACCTTTGTGCATAGTATAATTTCTATCATTGTTGTATGTTCTGGCTCAGGTTAAACCCTTTGTAAAACATGATCCCTCTTTTTAGGCATCAGGTATACCAGATGATGTTCCAATTATAAAATACTTACTTTATCACCACAGTGCAGAAGCTTGGGAATGAGTGCTGTTTAACATGTAGTGTTTCTGGGGTGCGATTAAATAACTATTTCATACTTGTTCACTTACTTGTTCAGCGAATTTGTAAATGAGAACTATAAGGTGAATTTGGCTCAACACTGTACAGAGCAGGAGGAGACTGAGGGGAGGCTTAACAGGCTGAAAAAACTGTATCAGACATGTCGCCACCATGAAATAGTGATTTGGTCAGCTGGGTTGTTGAAGAAGAAGAGATTGAGCTGTCATAATGTTGGTCAGGTGTTTCGCTGTGGACAGAGGTCACTACAACAGGGGGACACTATGTGGATGCAAGTGACAGCATCTGTAGTTTAGGGTTTTGTTGGTTAGCTGTATGTATTGCGTTACATACTGTACTAACCCCTGACTACTACTTACCTGCAATGGTAAAATTAATTGCAATTACTGAGAGAATTAAATCGCAATATGAATCTGTGAAGATTTAATTCGCAGAGGGTGTTATCTACTTTTGACTTTGCTTGAAGTTTGATGTCTTACGTCACTCGCGTCAGTAGCTGTATCAAGGTGCAAAGACTTCGCTTTTTTAAAGGAAAGGAAATATGCATTGTTTTACACAGTTATACCTCAAAAATGAAAAAGATTCTTTAATTTGATAAAAAAAATGTTATACCTAATTGTCTAAGAAATAAAGAAATCCTTTTCAATAAACTGTCTTTAATCTCATTTTGTTAAACAAATTGTGAGAAAATCATATTGTGAATGCAGTATCATAAATTGTATGGAATCACAAGTTGATTTTATAGTTATGTCATGCTCACAAACAAACACACTGACAAGACTAATCATGGACTATTATCTGCTCATCCTGAGCAGGGTCACATTTAAATTTGCCCATTGTTTAAAATAGAACCAAAAATGACAAATGTTTCTTAAGAATCAAATTTCATTGTCATTTCACCTTTTCCTATTTTACAGTATTATCTACATGCATAGGAATACAGCTCAGCCAAAATGACAGAATGCAATCTTACTCTATCTTTAGTAGCTCTGGTAGCTGATACATCAGCAGCCTGGAGCTTACATTAAAATGTGTCTCTTTACATCGCTGCCTTTAGGCATTATCAGAAATAACTGTGATCACTGGAGCGTTATGGTTAGGTTGAATCTCAGCGATGCAGATAGCCACACTCTCTGCATGAACATCACTTCTGTTTGTGTAACGGGGGTGCTGTTCTCTGAGGCCGCCGAGTTGTTGAGTCATTCTCAGTGTGTACCAATTGACTTTGTGAGGTGATTTGGTCAAATGTTACATCTACACCATGGTCCATCTCCAAATCCACACTGCTGACACATTCAGTTTAAGGTTGGAAATCTCTCACTTAAAATGATACTACCATGTTGGTGAGTGCTGCTGTAATAATACTTGATTTGGTTAAAAATTTTAACACTGATATGGTTAATATATAACTCTATTGCCTGTCTATAGAGATATAGTAGAGCCATAGTTTTTTTGCTACATTTTGGCTTAGTTTAGTAGTTTCCAGCACAATAAATGCAGGAAGATTGTGTAATACTAGCAATGAATTTTGAGCAGATTATTTCCTGTGAATACTGATCAGAGCTGTTTTCCTGATATTTTTAGGAACTTTTTATACAATTCTCTGTATTATTTACTAATTGTACTATTATTTATAACTGTCTGTATTAGAATAACAATCATTTGTATTTAATAGGCTTCTTTTTTGACTAGTTCCATGTTTCTTGTTGTTCTTTTAGTTAAACAAATAATCTTAACTTTAAAAAATGTCATTCATTTGGTTTTCTTCACAGAAATGAATCAAATGCCAAGATATAGGCCTACTGTATTTATTTTTATTTCTTATCCCCCTACAAAACAAGAAGGCCTTGCAACCCCCATTAAGCTTTGGCAACTGCTTGTGGGGCTCTGGACCCCCAGATTGGGATCAAATTGACAATTAGTGTGGAAATTTTCACTGAAAAAAGATTAAAATCATGATAATGTGACATTTGACTGGCTCTGTACCAAACAAACATGTTTTCTTACCTCCGGAGAAAGACTTGTAGACCAGGACATCTCTGTAGCACTACAGTAATTTCATTATTCATTATGTTAGTCACACATTTTACTTTTATCAAAAAATGTTCAGCTTGTGCGATTTGGATATTGCTCTTGTCAATATTGAGATTTCGATAATATTTCCTTTAATTGTGTAGCCTTTTTGGGAACCCCTGCTTTAGTTCACTGCTCGCCAACAATTACATTTTTTTTCTTGAGTGTGAGTTGAACTGTGCCATGGGATAATTCTTTCTCTGTGTCTACCCATCTGTTACTACCTTTTGTATGTGTGTGTGTTTCAGTTTGTAATCATCCTAACCACATCTGTCCCGCATGTACTGACATCTGTAGTGTTGGTACAGAGTAGTACAGACACCTACAGGGTTGTATGCGCTAGTGCCAGTGAACGAGCTTCTCCGCCTCCTGCTGGTGTCTCTGCTGTTGTATGGGTGTGCTGGTTGTGTGCTTGGGATCTTGGACGTGATTGATCATTTATGGACTTAATTTCTCAGTCACACCTGTTCTGTTTGCTCTTGGTGGTCACATGTGGTCCTGTTGCTCTCTCCAGAACAGGCCACCAGCAGTACAGGGGTCACCCCACAACGGCCAGACCCCACCCTGCATGAACCCTGCCTTGATGAACGCTCCCTGGGTGAGAGAGGGGAAGAGGGTTTTTTTTTTATCCCATGTCATGCTGGCAATCACCCACAGTATTTACTGACATGATATGTGACATGTCATGATTCATTCCAAGTTTTCACCGCTCATGTTATCAGAAGTAAAAAAAAAAGGAGATTCCATCATGTTGATGCACTGTCAAGATAATTCACTTCATGGTTTGTTCATCTGGTCACAACACACTTCTCTGTTGCCACTCTATTCATATTGTTCATTTTGGCATTATTCATGTCAACGCTAGGTTTGCATGTTAACTGGGAACTCATTTTGCATCCTTTCGTTGCTAAGTAAGGTATTGACATCAGGGGCATGGCCAGATTTTTTTTGACTCGGGTGGCACAAGTGGAGCACGGACTTATGCAGGAGTGGCATGAAATATGTGTCTCAGCTTTCCAGTTGTTCCTAATTTATGCAATTCCAGTACTGTTTAGGAACCCCAGTATGCAGAAATATTCAAATACACTAGGCAAAAATAACACATTCATACCACATGCAAAAAACTACATGGAAAACTGCATGGGATTCACATAAAGTAGGCATGTCTGCAAAGGGGAGACTTGTGGGTACCTATTTTCATTCAGAGATCTTGAAATTTTAGCCTCACTTTGCAGCACTACTTACCTCACTTCCCAAAATGCTAGTATGACATGGCTGGTACCAATGGATGTGTTAAGTCATCTTGTTTCATATGATATATACCAGTATCTTCACTAAAACCCTGCTACAGCCTCTGAAAGACCGTGTGGAAGAGGAAAGGTTAATAGGGTGGACAATCAGATTTCAAGTGTGGCCAGTGCTGCCCCAGGCCCTTCTGGACATGCCCCTGATTAGGAGGGAATTCATTGTACTGTGTGTATTCAAGAAAAGGTTCTAGTTCTGGATCAGTTAACTGGGATTGGTAAGAATTCTTCCTGTAATACAATTCACAAAACACCCACAACAAGAGAGAATGGAAGTCCTTGAAGATCTGCAAAATGTAATGGAAAACAGAAGTCTGCTTTGAAAAAAAGTATAAACTATTAGTATGTAAGTATAAGTTCCTCCTGTGAACTTTTAAATGAAAATGTACACAGAAAATAGAATCATTATATTCATGTGTGGTGCTTTTTATTTTAGTTTGCAGTGAGCAGGGAATGGACACTACATCCAAAAGGTTTGGTTGACAAAAGTTTATTTAACAAAGGCAAGTGGCCAGTCAATGTTAAAAGATATAGTTCCATCGTCATGGTAACTGCATTTATTTTAGTAATGGATAAATCACAACCTTGACGTTACAAGTTTGAACTTACACACAGCTGGTGCAACAGGCTGCTTAAAAGAACCTAGTCTGTATCTACAGAAACCAAAAATAATACAAACACTACATTCTAAATCTGAGACACTGCCCATGTATAAATCATCATAATCATAATAATCATAATGCAACAAATCCAATTTAAATAAAAACCTGAGAACTGTAATGTGAATCTGGTGCCTCTGTGGGTAAGGTTTTGCCATGTTGATGTTTATTATCTGTGTCATCCTTGATTCACTATTAGGGAACTTTTAAAACATACACATTTCATTAACACCATTCTTTTCATAAGTCAGCATATGTGCATTGTTCAATAATTACAACAACAATTACAATATGGTAGTGAGGGATATTGGAGGCAGTTTATTAAGATTCATTCTTAACCTTTTCTTTTGTCATTTCTGAGAACAGTAACACAAACCCTATACTTCTCATCACCTTCCAATTAAAGCTTTTTTGGCATGAAAGGTTATATGCTTATATTGCCAAAGCAAATATTAAAGCAGCAGTAGGTAACTTTTCTAAATATAACTTTTTGTCATATTTGCTGAAACTTTCTCTATATCCTGACAGTTGTATATGAGACAGATAATCTGTAAAACAATCTTCCTCTTAAGATCAGATGGGATGTTTCTTTATTGATCTCCCATAGGGACAATTTTTAATTTGGCACAAAATATTATAATAAATTAAAACATAACTGCAAGCAGTGATGAACGGGCCTTCGCCCATCACGTGCTGGCGTAACATGTGCGGACCACAACATGAAAATTTTACGTAAATCAGATCAAAATCGCCATGCAGCGC